GTCGAGTTGATGCCTATAAACGGACCGTTCCTTCATAAATAAAAACTACTATTTGTCTTCTACCTTCAGAAAAAAATTCAACTCATTTGGTTGAAGAGTCATGAAGATTTTGAAATTTTCTGCAACTCTAGTGACTTTCTGGACACCCTATAATCCTACATATACACTACAGTAGACTTGTGTGGTCTCCTTCTCTCAAACAACAAAAAGCATATTTTTCTATTATATATCATTTTGAAGCTTATGAAATTTACTACAAACTGGCATGTTCAAAATTCAAGATGGGTGGGACCGGTCCCGGGTTTGTTTCGTTTACCATAATTTTGAAACTCAATTCCTTTCTACAATTCAGCGCTACTTTCTATTAGTTTCATGATGATAATGGTGACTGGTTCTAGAAATTTTAGTTGTAGAACACCCTATTCGAGATTCCCGGCAAAACTTCCACGGTACTCCTATCACAGGGTTCTGCGGGATCCTGCAGGAGTCAGGTGGGACTTTCAAGGGATTTCTCAGGACTCCTGAGGAACTTTCGAGTCACAGGACTCGAACCGTGGAAGTGTGGGACTCCATCGAAAGTTCTCAGAATCCTCGAAGTCCCCCGGAAGTCCTGAGAAATCCCTTGAAAGTCCCGCCTGGCTCCCGCAGAATCCCGTGACATGAGTCCCGTGGGAGTTTTACCGGGAGTCTCGACTAGGGTATCTTGACTCGCCTGCTTTCAGATAACCGCTGAAGCAACCTGCTTTCAGATAACCGCTGAATGTGACAAACTGATGTATACACATATATACATATAACGCATATGTATATATATCTTTTGTTGTTTCCCATTACTTTGTTCACTACAGTCTGAACTACGATGATGTCAGCAGCAAAAAGGTCAAAACTAGATTCCCTTAAATTTTATCCATAAATCGCTACTATCGCCGTAAAATTTTTCAATTTTACGTTGATAGTAGAGATTTATGGATAATATTTATGGATGCCTAGTTTTGACCCAGCAAAAATGTACGTTGATTTCAAACTATTTTTCAAACAATACTAGGTTTTAGATGATGTTTTAATCGGACGTCCACGCTCCTTTTGGTTTTAACTGAAGATGCATGGGTGTGCTAAAACATTGGCTTTGTTAAGAGCTCGAACAAAGCAAAAATTTTTATTTGCTTATTTTTTTGTCTCAGTGCTAGTTGATTGTAACGAAAGTGCTAGTTGTTCGTTTCGTGTTTACGTTTTATGCGCAGACTTTTTGACTACCTCTCATGTCGAAATAAGGAACATTTTTCATTCTGAAAAATAAAAAGATAATAATGAAGAGAAAGAATCTTGTGCTGATTTTACTTGTCAGGATAGTAGGATAGAAGATTACGATTTTTGGAGAGCAAAGTTCACTATCTACTTCACATATGCATGTTTTTTCTACTTCTCACACTACAGCGACAGGCTAACGTTTCTGCTAGCAGTCAGAAGATGCTAAATGGTATCTTACCGAGCTTTCCTACTTTACATGATAATGATCAGGCAAACATTTAAAAACACAAAGCAGACTTTTTTCAAAAAAGTGTGAGTCATACAGTGCGTTTTTAGAGTAAGAGTAATACCAGTTTATTCATGAAGAGTATTTCAGCAAAGGATATTCCAGTTTGGTTAAAATTTTTAAAGTGTGTATGCAGTAAATACATTTTGTTGTTAAAAACGCTGTTATTGACTGAGTTAGTTTTACCAGTTATTTTAAATACTAGCGTTTTGAATATATGATACAACGTATTTGCCGTTTTGTTTTAGAAATATGTGTTCAAACACTATTAGTTCTCTGAACAAGGAATTTGATAAGCGTTTGAAATCGTACTGCGGTCCGAATGAAATAACCGATTTATGGCTTCCGTATGTTGTCATGTTTTTTTCGAAGACGAAAATGCTTAATTTATTTTATTTTTAAGGTATTTGTTGGCCGTTGAAGAAGAATTGCCCGATGATGAATCTGGTAGCAAAATTCTATATCCCTTATATTACAAATGTTTAGAAAAATTTCAAAATGATCAAATTCAGATATATAATAAACATTTTTTAGAAATATGCCTTCATATAGTAAGTTATACAAATTATCTCCATATTGTCAGTCTTCTCATAAATGTGTATTTTGCTCGTTTTATAGGCTCGTATGTCAGTTGACAAAGGTTTATGGTACGGTTTATTCTATAGTAAACGAATTGGCGTTGAATACGCTAAGTTCTGGGTTGAATGGGCCTCATATGTCGAAAATAGTGAGAATAATTATGAATCAGCATGGGGAATCTATGAAGAAGGAAAAAAATTTATCCATGATCCGAACGAAATTATAGAATTTGAAAAGGCTTATTGGTAAGTTTTTTCTTGATGTAAAGCTTACTCACTATTTACATTATTTTTTGAAAACAGCAAATTCGAACCTCGTTTAATCGAATGGGACAAAACAAGTAAGTTATTTACTTAAAATTTAGCAGGTCTAACCTTTATTTGAGAAGAGTTTACCTAGGAAACTTTGTGTCAAATCCTCGCGTATGATCCATGCAAACATTGCTAAATATAAGCCTGTTCTTTCTGCTTCTTTTGTAGAATGGGAAAGTGAAAATCGATCCAATATAAAGAAAAAATCATCATTGATGACAACTGATACTGTGACGACGACAGAGCAAAAAGCCAAGCGTAGAACAAAAACAAGAACGACATCCGCTTCTGATGGTACATCAGCAACGATAGTTGAACAAAAAGCAAAACGAGTAACACGAACAATATCGACGTCGAAAGAAGAAAAAATTGTTACTGTTGTTGAAGTAGCAGTAGTAGCAGCTAAGAATTCATCATCACAACAAGCTTTAGACTCGAAATCATCTGATGCACTTCCACCTCAACCGATTGCACCTGTCATTATTGATCCAATGGAAGTAGAAGATGATGATAGCGATATGGAATCAAATTATTTACCAGAATGCCGTGAACAAGTTCATAGAGAATATTCACGTCTCTTGGATATGTCACAAACAAGTCAGCTTGGAAGAAAATCATTGATTAATATATCGACAATTGATCAAGTTTTACAACGAAATTCACTTATGATGATTCAAAACCAACCGACACTTCAACAAATTGATACGTTCGATGAAGATTTTTTAAATGTGACGGCTATTGAAGTTGATGAACGCGATCCATTTGATGATAAAATAAGACGACAACTATTAGAAAATAAAGGAATTAACTACACACAAATGCAACATTATACAAAAGTGAAAACAAATTTGCCTTCCCAGTTGCACAAAGAAATCTTTTTGGGATCTGATGTCAAAATACAAAAAGTTGATTTAGGTATATACTTTTTTCTTCTAAGAAACAGCCTCTGATAGCTTTTGTAAGCTAAAATACGTGTTGATAATGACCTTTGTAGCATTTCTCTGACTGAAATTTCTCTAAAATTCTTTATTCATTCACTTTTTTAAAAAAAGATACTAATATTTAAGTTTTTTCGCTGATTTTAGGTGGCGTTACGTATGAATTTGGAAAGAAGTTGGGTGAAGGTGCATATGGTTATGTTATAGCTGCCCGTCTTCAAAAGAAACCGAATATATCCTATGCATGCAAAGTGAGTGCCTTCTTTATATTAGACAAGCGTATATTATTCTTCGAATATTTTAGATTCAATATCCACCATCTGTCTGGGAATATTACATTTTAACGGAACTTTGTAGTCGTTCAATACGTAAAGTGGGAAAATTTGATCTGGTCTGTTAACATAAGTGAAAAAATATCAAAATTTTTCATTAGAAATTTTCTTTTTTTCTCATATAGAATCTTCGTATTCCAAGTGTACACAAACTTATTGAATATAACGATTATAGTGTAATGTTTATGCAACGTGCACCACAAACACTATTGGTAATTTAAATTTTGCTGAAAATTAAACAAATCAATATGTTGTTTTTCCCCATTTCAAGGATTTTGCTAATTATCATATTAGCAGAGATCGACGTATACCATTTTATTATCAATTATATTATTCAATAGAAATGTTGAATATATTTCAACATATGCATAAATTAAGAATTATACATTGTGATGTTAAACCCGATAATTTTATGGTACTTCAATGGTATGTAGCATATATTTGTGCACGAACTATTTTTATCTGAATTGAAATACACTATGTTTGTTTGATGGAAGAGTATAATCTCTATTTCATTTCCATTTATAGTCCATCACAAATTAATGCTAAACAAAATCCTTATCAACAAATGCCATCGTTAATGTTAATTGATTTTAATCGATCAATTGATCTGAATTTATTTGATAATGGGACAGCGTTTGTTACGTGTGTGCCGAAAAAAGAATTGGCATGTGTTGAAATGTTAAGAAGTCGACCATGGATTTTTCAGGTAAATATTCTTAGATATTAATAATTATATATATATCTGTTACTGTTTATATTTAGCATGATTTATTTGGAATGGTCTATTCAATTCATGTGCTCGTATTTTTAAGTTATATGATTGTATGTGAAGATGTCAATAATCCAGGAATGATGACAATAAAAGCAAAATTCAGTAAACATATTGATCCAGTGTGGCAAGAGTTTTTTTGTACATTTCTCAATATACCCGATTGTAAAAGTAATCCAAATTTAGAAGAATGGGAACAACGTTTACAAAAATTGTTACAAATAGAAACAAAACGTTTAAAACAAAAAGATATTGATTATATTCGAGTGTTTTGTGATAGCTTAGAACGTTTATTAAGTCAGTTTGAACAACAACAACAACAACAACAAAATCAATGAATAAATAACACATTTATCTGTTATTTTCTTTTTACTTTGTTATACTCATTCTTAAAAAACTCTCGTAAAGTTTTCTCTTTTTACTGCGTGTGATCTCTTTTTCTTACAGAAAATTAGACGAATTGTATTTTGCTGTTCATAATGTGAATTAGATTTACGACAGATATATTTTCTCCTATTCGTTTTTTTCTAATGTTTACTTGTCATTAACCAGATAGATAAAAAATTAATTAATAAAATTCTTTCAATTAGGAACTTTAACGGCGAAATATATTTAAACGTATAATTAATCATCACACTTTTTAGAACGACTCGCGGCAACTATAGTTGAACGAAAAGGGTAAGTTCAAACAAGCTTAAAATTGAGATGGTCGATATAAAAGACGTGATATCTTTTCAGAATCTTGTATAGTTTCTCAAACAATTGATACAGATAACTAAGGAATATTTTCTCTAAACGTGATCACTTACAATCACTCTATATCCGAGTTCGAAACGAATCAGGAAATCCTGAATCGGTTCGATTCGATTCGGGCCAGTTCAATGAAAATAAAAGCTTGCTTATGTTTCCAAACGTTTGTTTAAAATATGTTGCCTCGAGTTGGAACACTTGAGCATAGGAATGCACTAAACCCAAAACCATTAATTAATAAGACTTTCGTTGGGTATGGTGGTTTGAGGTTACAAATAGAGTCCTGCAGATTACGACTTTTTGACAACCTATAACCTAGTCTATAAAAATGTTCACAACCTAAACCTAACATAACCTAATCTATGAAATTCGTAGTCTAAACCTAACCTATTAATGTTTTCCGTAACCTAACCTAGGTTAACCTAATACAACCTTTTGCAGTTTTTTCCCAAAACTTGGTTTCAGAAGCCCAAACTTCAGCTTTGTTCCATATCGTTATTGCTTTTCATCTAAACACCGTCTGACAGGTAAGCTTATACAAAATAAATCACATTTTACATGAATATAGAAATGAATCGGTTGAGTCTTTTATTCTTTAATGTAATCTTTGGAAAATAACTTTCTGAATAGGGAGATCCTCTTAAGAATAGACCAGAATTCCACTTCAGGCTCTCGATGCTACGAAGGTTCTGTCATTGTTGTGTATTCGCCATCTATCTTTAGGAAACGTAAATTTTTTCTCTGAATTCCTTTTTTGATTGTGCTGTTTTTCAGTTTAAAAATAGTTCAGTTTAAACTAGAAAACCTCGATCTGATTTATCCTCAATCGATAAAATTCCACTGGGACTACGCTTTATTACTCAAAGTGTCGGCTGTTTTAAAGCGGTCGTTCAAAATCGTTTTTTTTTTCTTTAGGTTCTACTTGAGCAGAACATATCATTTATATGACTAGAACTTTGAAACATGAAATAAAACAAAACAAAAACGGAGAAAAATATAAACAAGAAATGTCTTGTTCGCATTATTAGTCTTTCCATTTATTATTTTCGATCGAACGTAAAAATAATGTGTTGTTGACACTCGATGGATCTTAGCCTGAGCGACGTTGGTTAACAATCTGGTCAGCGCCGCTGACTTTTGGTTCAACCGCAGCTGAGCTATAAGGAATTGAAAAGTCCGCAACAGTAATGATCAAAAAATAAGGAAATGTCGATTATGTGCGACGTTCATTCTGGTGCTTTCAAAAATTCCATCTCTGAAAATGAATTTGATTAGATATCTTAATAATTCGATAAAAGATATTATATGTTCCTCTTTCTAACGCGAGTTTATGTTTCTGAGCGTTATAACAGAAAAAAAGGACAAAATTTTATTACATGGTGCTTTTGTTACTTTATACGATATCATTGTAACTTAGCCTGACCAAAACGTTTTAACTAAGCAGTTGATTCGTGTTTCATAAATCAAATTCGATTCAGTTCGGTTCGACTCCTTATTTTAAAAATCGAATTTAGTTCAGTAAGCAGCTCAATCGAATGTCGAATCATTCGATTCGTTTCAGGCTCTGCTCTATATTAACGTCCAACATAATTGTAAAAAGTGAGCCTTTAAGCCAAAATACGCGATGATAATAATCTTTGCAACATTTCCTTTGAATCTTTCTCTAAACTTCTAAAATTCTTTATTCATTCGTTTTTTCGTTATAAAGTGAATTTATTTTTTTTATTAATTTTATTCAAACGTTCGCGTAATTTTGTTTCATTCGTATTTGATAGAAAAGAGAGAAAATCGAAACCCATTAATTTTATTTACCAAATAGTCAGTTACATAAGAGAAAGGACAGCAAGTAATTAAAAATCTAACAGCTGACATTGATGTATCTAACAAAAAGCTATAACTAAGAGAAAGTTTTTGGCACATCATTATTTTCAATCGATTTTTGAAGAAATGTAACACAGTACATGAAATGAGAGCAACAAAATAGAACAAAATTAAGTAAACAAAAGAGAAAGAAGATTAACTTGAATTAGTCCATGAGATATCACCAGTGTCAGTTGATATAAAAGCCGATAATTTGAATGGATCTATGTATAAAACAGCTGCTGAATCAGATACTTTACAATCTTATATCAGCTGAAACTACCATCCGTTTCAAAATACAGTATACTCGGTTGTTTTTCGAATAACTGAGAACTAAAGACTAGTAGAGACTTTTAGTTTGGCCAGTCGATAGCCAGGACTTTTAGTCATGTCTTCCTAAGCAAAAGCATTTTCAACAAAAACTTCAAAGGACGGTTTTCTGAAGGATCTTTGAAAAACCAGCTCGGATATCTGCAGAATGATATAGCAACCAATCCATGGATGGTTCAAAGTGTCTTCTAAAAAATGAGATCTAAGTGATGCCTTCAAAAATCATGGTTCGATCGGAAACACGGTTCTAAGACCATCAGAATTGGATCTTCCTTGATCTAGTAATCTCAAAAACACGTGGTACATAGACAATTGATGCTTGTGAAAGTGACTAAACAAGAAAAGAGACCTTATCAGCGCAGACCTTGGGTCTAAAGTGTAACTCCTCCATTCTAACATGATGAAGTAAGGTAAGGCTGGATGAAACTTATGCCCCGAGTGTGTACATTTACATTAATTTGTTTTAATTTTATTAAGATTCTCTGTTAGCTTGTCTGCGTATACAACGTATATTCAGTATTGTCCGTGTATTTGCGCACGTCCGTAAGCGTTAGCGAGAGAGTGGTGTGGGGTGGGTAAAACTTTCAGGTTTTCAGAAATTTCTCCCTGTACAAACTTTCATTCCTTGTTCTTCCTCTTTCAGAGGAATTCAGGGCAGGAGTTACACAAAAAACAAAATTCCCAGCAAAAACTCATAATGTCTGTCGACATAATAAAAACATTTTCATTTACATTGTTCATGATAGCCGCAAACAATACTGAAGTACCACACACAACAGAAGTCATGTCTGGAAATAGAACTAAAATCTATAAAAACTGAAATAAAGGTTTTTTTAGTAAGAATGGCATGAAAAAATGTTTCACGGATTAAAGTTTCTATCGTGAAATTTCGCTAATTTTAGTAAACACGCTCCTCAGTAGAACTATCACCTGAATTGCTATGTTCACGGTGATAACTTTTTTTTCCAAGAGGTATAACAGTGGGGCTTGGTATTGAAGAATTATATCCAGACAATACTCTTTCTTGCCGATTAGCCGGTATGTTTGATGCTCGTGAGACGTCTGCTAAATTGCTTCCTAACGGTCCTTGTGATGTGTTTGGCTGTACTGGGTTCGATCTTCCACCGAATAAATTTGCTAAAGTGGAGGATAAACCTTGTGGTTTAACTTCTTGTTCATGAAACTGATTATAACTGTGTGGGATAGGTGAATGAGTAGTAGTATTATTGTGATAATTCCGTTGTGATGAGTGATCGTGGTTATAATCATCCAGTACACGCATCAATTGCTCACTTGGAGGTGGAAGATCTTCTATGCGTTCAACAATACGTACATCTCCGATGCCTGATTGTGGTTGTTGCGTTATATAAGTATGCGGATCAACTCGGAATACACCTTCTTCAATAACACGTCGAACAGTGAATGCTTTTAATGGTTCATATTCAATAATAACATTTCGCACGGGTTTAACTGGTGCTGGGGGTTGTGCTTTTTGTAATAGAACAGGGCGTTTTACTTTTTTGTATGGTAACCATTTTTCAAAAATAACCTAAAAGGTAAAAGAAGAGTTAGAGTACTTTGTTTCAGTATCTGTTGAGTGTGATGTAGAGACAATATAAATCAGAGACGTTTTAATATTTTGCTCACCGTTCTGGGTTTTGGTGGTGGAGTCGGTAAACGCTCGATAATAATTTGTCGTGGCTGTACTGGACCCGGTGGCAAGGTCTTTTCGATAATATGAGGTCTAAAAATGATGAAAAAGAGGAGTGCTATTGTTAATGAATGTACTTGAATGCAGGTACTAGGTCAACGTAGGTTTTGTCCAACGTTCTTGAGCTTTTTTGCAAGTAAACCAAGTATTTGAATTACTTTATCTTCTTGTCAAGTCAGGCACTTGCTCAAGCAAGTAACCCCCAAATACCTGCTGGAGGTTCAACAAGTAAATCAAATACCTGGCAAGTGCTATCAGGCATTTATCAAGTAGTATTTTTTGAAAATACTTATCAAGTGCTTGTTAAGTACCCATAGAAATTTGCAAGTAAACAAATACCCACTCGCAAGTACATTCACTAGGGTAAGATCTGATTAGCCTTCGCTACTCATGATAACAACCATCAGATAACACTTGTGTATTGTTCATCACTTAATTTTCACTTAATTAAAAAATATTTGATTCGTTTACTTACTCAAGAGGTGGTGGAGGTGTCGGAGGTCTTTCTCTGATTGTCAATGGTGGTGGCGTATGAGCTTCAGCTTTTCGTTCTCTTATCAGCAAAGGCTTAAAGTAAATAATAAAATATACACATATGTCATTCAAAGTAAACTGGATTTTTGACGACTTACGGATTGAGGTGGATGCGCGGGCGCTTGTTTTTCTCGAATAATAATCGGTGCGGGTGGCGGTGGAGTTGGTGGCTGTAGATATCTTTAAACAGAACTGATCAAGTTAATATTTTTCTTTTTTGTTAGGTACATTCTTACCGTATTCGAATTTCTTTTCGATAAACAACATTTTGTGCGTTCGGTTTAACAACTCGAATAGGAGGATTTTCATGTGAATCTATCTGTCGCATATATCGGTCAGCTGACGTTGTGTCCATAGATTGTGGATTATCAATAATGGTTTGGTTTTGTTTTGTAAATAATTTTGGCGATAAGCGATTTGCAAGGTTAAATGAAGTTGGTTGAGTTACGTTTGGAAGAGGTTGTTGTTGATTTGAGTTCGGACGTTGATCAAACCCTGCTTGTGATGAAGCCGGAGGTGGTTGTGATCGCTGTTGATCAAAGTTGGATGAAAATGTTGGAGCCGGACCTCGATTTGGATTCTGTGTTGATGGAAATTGTTGTTGATTTTGAGCTGGTGGTGGAGGAGGCTGCTGTCCATAACTTGGTTGTCGTCCAAAAGATGTGATGGTATTAGCAGCAAACTGAGAATTATTTGGATAATTTGAGTCGCCTCTGGTACTTGATTTAGAAGATGTGTGTGGAAGCTCTTTGAACGCTGAATTGAGTTCGTTTCGTCCGGATAGTCTTTGCTCAGAGTCTTCTCTAGGTGGTTGAGATTGCTGTGGTGATTGGTAGTTGTGAGATGGATAAGATTTTCCGACAGAACTCGAGCCGTTGTTAGAGGGTTGATAGGATTGTTGGCTTTGAGAACCGTTTTCACCTGTTTCGCCGTAGATAAAGTCTTTCGGATTTAAGCCAACTTCAGATAGAACCCGATGTATAACGTTATCGTCTCGTGTGTGAATAGAAGATGTGGTATCGCTTAATGGTGGCCGTTGATTGCTGTACTCCGATGTCCTTAAAGAATTAGTTAAAATATTTCCAATAATGGATTACATCAGGAACAAATTATATCATCGTTCAATGACTATGTGGCTCAGAGCTCAATGTGTATTCAAGGAAACAAATCTTGGGCAATAAGCCTAAGGGTATATGATGGATTTCGCGGTCTTATCTGTTCCGCTTATGGAGAAGCGTTTCGCCTGGCCTCTCGAAGAGCTGTCCAAGAGGTATAATAATAACATATCTTACTCTTATCAGCAAATTGCTGTAAACAACACATTGTCTTCGATTTTCTATAAAACCACAACTAACTGCTATAATAATATTGTTTTTGTTTTATTCAGAAAAAATCTGTGGGAATACGATTTCAAACAGGTACGAGAGAAAGAGAGAAAAGATCGATATGCGATCACCGTTGATTATTCAGATAAACTGACTTTTCAGTTTTCTATGGTCAATATTATTCATCTATAAGTACGTGAATCTTTTCGTCAGTGAAATTCACTCTACGTTTAACAAAGGACAGTATGCCTAGGTAGATACTATAGATACAAAAAAAAATCAGGTTGTATCAATTAGTCTTTCAGATACCGCGTGTGATACTCTTTAGAAACCTCTTTTTTACTTCAAATATTTCTGAAATACGTATCCTAACAGTCTTCGAGCAAAATACTTCTCTATCCACGCAGAACTCGTTACAAAACATCAAACGATTGTGTATTATTTGTAATTCTCCTTGCAAAATACCTTGCGTAAAATATTCTGATAGCTTGAGTGAAAAATCCGAGGCCTTTAAAATAGTCATCCAGGCATGCTGAATGGTTGATTCTAATTCGAATAGTGCTCATAATATAGCTTTCTTAAGACAAAGGTTAATAGGAAAAGTGAAAGGTCGTATTTGAAGCGAAGGATCGATGTGGACAGAACCGAAGAAAAAAGAAACATTTCGTAAGGCGCACCAAATTCAAACTTACCACATCATTTTATTTTTGGCGTAATTATACATCAATCGATAGAGCTCGATGAGCTGATCAGGAATATCTACGTTTTAGCTTTAAAAAATTGACTTCTGAATGAAAAATCTTC